TTCTGCTATGTCCATGTATCTGTCCTGTACCCTGGTAATATGTACATAAATGAGACATGCTCCTTGTTCTAAAGGTTCCTGATAGAAGAAACTAGAAAGTTGAGTTTCATATAAACAACATATAATGATTTAAATAGATCTAAAACTGGATCTAGCTTAAAAGACTCGGAGTAGGGGATAGTGACAGTCTTATGTCCATCTATACTTGTGTCCTAGAGGGCTTACATTCAAAAGAAGGCTTAGATGACTCTTTAGAGGAAGTTTTAAAGTCTAATTCTGTGTGACTTGAGACATCACTGTTTGTATATATATCCCTAATATGTTGAGTTTTTTTCTTTTTTTAAAAAAATTTATTTATGATAGAGAGAGAGAGGCAGAGACATAGGCAGAGGGAGAAGCAGGCTCCATGCACCGGGAGCCCGACGTGGGATTCGATCCCGGGTCTCCAGGATCGCGCCCTGGGCCAAAGGCAGGCACCAAACCGCTGTGCCACCCAGGGATCCCTACGTTGAGTTTTTTAAAAATTAAAATTAATTTATTAAAATGATAGTTTTTATTTATATTTAAGTTTTTGAGTCTGTTTCTCTTTATATTTTCTTCCTCATTTAAAAAATTGGGGGTTTAGTAAGAGGCAGTGGGCTAAGTATCATTAATAATTTAAACTATTAACTTGTTCTTTTGCATATAGTTTTTTTTATGGTTTCAGGAAATATGATTGTAATACTTAATCTGTGTTAGAAGGAATTATTGCTATCACTGTCTTTGTATGTAACTTTGAGAAGTTGATATACCTTAACTGAATTTGATCCTTCTGAGTCTGAAGAGGGTTGGCATTCATTCATAAGGTAAGTTAGTGATGTAAAAGTGGTTTTTAAATACTAGACTTAATAGCTTCTGTGTACTTGTGGAATTTGACTTAAACATATTAAAAGGAACCAAGTTAAAAGGCAAGAATCCGACTTTTTAGATAATTTGCAACTTAAGATTTGCAGAAAGAATGGTTTTTAAAAATCAACCAAATTTAAAAGTTCATATTTAAACAAAAGATGCTTAGTTTGTGTGATTTCTTTCCAGCAGGAAAAACTTCAGGAAATAATTATGAAGAAAAGAACTTTTGAAGCGCGAAATATTTTCACTGTGTGAAGATTTTCACTTTTGTTTTGATATCGTGAAAGAATTAGGCTAATTTAGTTTTATGTTTTTTTACAATTTAATGTGTTGTAGAATTAACAATTGCTTTTATTATTTTACCTTTAGTTTTAAAAATAAAGAAAAGTGAAGCAGGCTTGTCTTATCTAACGTTAGGAACTTTCCAAATTGGGATACTAAGAATGAGCCAACTGTGCAGTGCTTTCTAGTTTCTACTTGTTTTTTATCGATACCTGTATTCCTTTTGAAGGCATCTTGATAATTGAACTTAATATCTTAAAAGAACAGTACACATTGAAAAATTTTTAGGTAGTATACATATACAAATGGTTAGCCATTTAGGAATGAAATTTACCAAACAGTATATCTGAATTTTTTTTTTTGGTTTTAAAAACTGCCAAAGTGTCTGTAAAATTCAAATATATTGTATTTTAGACAGTTTAGCTTTTGTCTTACATGTGTTTTTACCTTTCCCATTTTCTCCTGTTTCCTAAAAATTTGTAACACTTAATATATTTGCCAGAGTAGCTTAAATGGAAATTTCTAAAGCTCTACATGGCTTTGATTTTATAGTGTGCTTCTCATTAAGCTTATATGAATTAACACTTTGTAGCTTTAAGAGTGATGTGACAATTGGAATTTATAGTGGCATCATTGTAGCAGCTATGTTAAGAATTTGTTCCTTTAACTATTTGGAACCAACGACTCATTTTCATTGAACTTTTGATGTCATCAGTGGTAAGACACTCCGTTATATTGTGTGCCGTTAGTGAGAAGAAAAAAAACCTAATGAGAAGTCTAAAATACTCTGCAGATAAAACTGGGAGACCAAGGGTCTATTCCCTTCAACGTGAAGCAAGAAGTAAACCTACCATGCTGGGAGGGATGACAAAATAACTTTTGAATGCCTCAACTTTGATTATTGGGCAGAGGGAGGGGAAAGTCACTTCTGTGGATTTGAACACAGATCTCGTTAGCTTGCCACCTGGATCAGTTTGGTATTAAAATAATAATGGAAAGCTTAGAAAATTTCAGTGGTTTCATATTGATGGTGCTGTCAAGTGACTGGCCTAAATCAACACAGCATCCTTGTTAAATTCAGATTGGTTGAAACCTATATCCCCATATTATATTTATCCTAGAATTAATTAAAAAAGGAAATTATAACATTTCCACAAAGTAGATTCTTCAGGCTTTGAGAAACAAGTTTTTTGGTGATGCTCAGACCTCTGGAAGAGCTCTTAATTTGTCGGTTCTTACAATAACTTCTCATGAGAATATAGCATTTTCCACATTTATGTTTTTGTTCTTTGGTTTCATACCCCTCAGAATTTATAGAGATATTTAGGGAGAACTTAAATTTTTGTTTAATATGATATCTCATTCACATATTTCCATAAATGTAAAACTCTATTTTGAAATAGAGAATGCCAACCTCAGAATTTGGGGAGTTAAAGGTTCAAAGACCCCCAGACTCAGGTTTTATATCTGGGGAAGACTTTATGCCACAGTGTTTCATTGTCCTGGTATTTGGACACACTTCAGTCTTGACAAGTGTGGTCCCTTTGGGGTTAGTCCTCAGACTGGATGAAGAGAAGCACTGGTGGGACTCCCTCAAAACTGGAGTTTGGGGAGTATGTTCCAGAGCATTGTCTCCTCTGCTTCAATTTTTGCTACAAAATCAACATTGACTCTTCATCATCTTTTTATTTGAAACATATAAAAGTCTATTTGCAAAAAGCTTAGGTGTTCTTAGTTAAAAATTAAGTGACTCTGATAGCAGAAAGTGCTAAAACAGCGGTTTCGTTTTTTTAAAAAAACAGCAACAACAAAAATCCCCGGTGCCCTAAATCTCATTCTATGACCAGTTCCACAAGTTTTAGGCTAAAGGCAGATTTTTGAGATGTTTTAAAATTTGAAATATGGGAAGAACAATTGAGAGAATTCTATCAAACTCTGCTCTTTAATGATTTTTAAATGTTGTTTGCTTTGTCACTGGCCTGTTCTGGCCAATTCTTACTATGTTGTAAGGGGTTGTGGTTTTGGTTTTGGTTTTTGTCCGTTGTTTTTTAAGTGGGATTTGATCACTGTCTTACGAAGTTTCATGTAATTTCAACTTGAAATTACATTTTATACTGCTATTATGTGGGAATATTGTTGCGTGATGGAGATTTTACCTCCACTTATGTCTTTATTTCTTCTGAGAAAATGCTTTTTTCTCAAGTTTTCAAAGTTCAGTTTTCCAATTTAGCTTAGAATTCTAGTTGATGGATATGTTACCAGCTTTGAATTTTATATATAGGCCATTTTAAATACGAGGCTGTTTCTTTCTGTTGCTCAGCATGCCTCCCCAGAAGTCAGTTATGTAGTACTTAAAGAATTCATACCTGTGGGGCACTTGGGTGCTTGGTCGGTTAAATGTCTGCCTTGAGCTCAGGTCACAATCCCAGGGTCCTGGGATCGAGCCCCACATTGGGCTGGCTCCCTGCTCAGTGGAGAGCCTATTCTCTCTTTCTCTGCTGCTCTCCTTGCTTATGCAAGTGCTCTCTCTCTGATAAATAAAATCTTAAAGAATTCACACCTACTTTGCTGTAAGCCTAAAGTGAAATTAGTTGTGAGGGTGTATCTGTTGGGAGTAGGGAGAAGAGGGGACAAGCCTAGTTCTCATTTGATTGCTGTTTTTCCCCTTACTATATCAATTCTCTAATTTTTAGTCAGGGTGGCGGAGACTTGTGTTTCTGTTTTCAAATTCTATATCTTTTTTTTTTTTTCAACTGCTGTTTCACCATATATTCCAAGTAATAGTCAAATGTTTCCTGTCAAGTTCTTGTTTCATGATGGTTAAGCAATTTATTAAATATTTTAAGGAACAAAATAAACCTTTGTATTTTAATCTGTTAATACAGTGCTACTTTATTTTAATGGTGCTTTACCCTGGTTTTGTTTCGTGAGTGGACTTTTCCAAATAGTAAAATTCACTGTGCCAAGTGTTCTTATCTGTGTTTAGTGGGCTTTATATGTTCCTTTTGACCAGTATGCTTCTCAGTTGTTTCTAGTTCTCCAATTTTCATTTAATTTGAAACTGCTTGAATACCTGGTTACCTTATTCCATTACCTATGATTATTGTATACAAGTTTTATTTCCATCCATGTTTTTCTTAGATTTGCTCATATTAAAATCAAAAGTATAATGTGGGATTGTACTAATAGGGATGAATATTAGGTCAAAATCCTATATTAATCTTCATGATTTTTATTTATACTTAGTGAAGATTCATTCATAGATTTAGATGGCAGTCATTGGGAGACTAATATTTTCTTTCTTCAGATATTCACATATGTGCTTTATTAAGTTTTTCTTTCCAAGAGAGGACATAGGTGATGTGTCTGGAATTTGTTTTTTACATATTTTTTATGGTTGTTGAATTTTAAGCACTTTTGATCAAATTTGAATTTTTTAAAGAGCCAGATTGCTGTAAAATTTGTTGAATACAGATATAGTCAGTGGTGAGAACTACAAAAAATTTTTGTCTTGCTCCAAAGAAGGAAGAAAAAAAACCATGAGTGATGAGTTAAAATTAAAAGATTAATATTGTCAAATTCACATTGGAAATAACATAGTAAGTGTAAACCTAACTTTTAAGTTTGTTAAAATAATTTTAACTATACATTAAATATTAGCTCATTGATAAAATACTTCATTCATTCAACAAGCACTTACTAAGCATACTATTGATACTACATAGTTTTCACTGGGTTTAAATCGTGAGCTGTACATATTAGCTTTGATAGCCAGATTAATAAAGTTCTATTTGGTTTTATTTAGTAACCTTTTTTTACTTTCATTCTAGATGCCTGGAATGATGTCTTCAGTAATGCCTGGAATGATGATGTCTCATATGTCTCAGGCTTCCATGCAGCCTGCCTTACCGGTAATCTAGTAAAAATAATTATTTACTGTGATGTTTTGACTACTTTTATTTATGAAATACTGTACTGTCTATATATTTTCAGGCAATTCTGTTAGCTTTCTAAGTCTGTCTTGAGTACTGTATTACTGTATGTAATGCAAGGTGGAAATTACAGTGGTAATTCAACCCCTGAGCCACCCAGGTGCTCCAATTTAGCACAGTTCTTAATTGCTATACACTGATCTCTACTCCTATTGGAGGATCTTCTTGTTCCTCTCCCTAATACACTTTATTCATTCCACCTCCATGTCTTAGCTCAAGCCATTTCCGCATCCCTCCCCCCCCCCCCGCCCCCTGATGCCCTTTTAACCCAAACTAGATTTTAGTTATCCTTCAAGGTTCTTGAATGATAGGCATTCACATTTATTTGTATACTTATATATACATTCTTAATTGTTAATTCTATATTAAGAGTAGAATACTAAGAAGTAATAATTTGTCAGCCAGAAGCATTTTATTGGTCTGGTAGTGTTCTAATCTTAAAGAGTAGACATTTGCTCTGCTGAGTGTTAATTAACGGATGTAATATGGTTTAGTACTAGATCCTAGATTTAGAAATCAAAGATTTTATTCTAAATTTACATTTCATGAGACTTGAGTGATGGCACATTGCTTACATAATCCTTCACAGTCTTATCACCCTTACTGGATTATGCAGCAATATGTAAAGTATTATGATATTCATAATAGCATAACTTATTTATTACCTGATAACCTAGTGGTTGTAATGAGCATATTCCACTGGGGTGGTAAGTTTGCAATGTCTTACCCAAAACCTTTAGGCCAAATATATATTTCAAAATGTTTTAATGTTATAGAAGAATACTTTGTATATTCTGTATATCTTATAAAGATTTCCTTTGAGGTCCTGTATAGTGCCTTATAATTTCAAGCACAGTATTTCTGTAGCAGAACTTAAGAATATTCTCTTTGGGATGGGATGAATAAAGAGCTCATGTCATTCATAGCAGATTTTGCCTCTGTAATGAGTGTTTGTATGAAAGTTGAAAAAACTTGGTTTTTAGAGCTTTTTCGGTATCAGAATTGTGGGTAAATGGTTGTGGATCTATATGTAACTGATGATCATATAAATAAAACACTTAAAGTGCTTCAGTAGCCCTGGGTTATTGATGTTTTTCAATTTAAAATGAACTCAAGGAACTAAAACCACTGAAACTTCCTGAGAAACTTTGAGTCAGTGGCTTGAGAATTATACATAAAAAGGACTATATTTGTGCTTTTTGAGGAAGTTATATAAAATACAGTTTAAACAAGGTGAATATTACTAATTACATTTTTTTTTCTTACAGCCAGGAGTAAATAATATGGATGTAGCAGCAGGTATGTACATTCATGGTGGTAAATATCAGACTTCATTTGGACAATAACTATTATACTGGTATAACAAGGAATAAAAACATTGTCACTTCTTGGGTTTTATGATTAGCTCCTGATTTTTTTTTTCTCTGTCCTTTCGTTTTAAGTAATGAGAAATAGGGATACTATTCATAATTGAATTCCATAAAGAATTGCCATAATTTTAGATCAGGAGTTCTGGGACCACATTTGGTCTACAGTTATACTTTAGCCCATACAATGTTTTAAATTTAATAATTAGTTGCTGACATTTAAAGTCTTGGGCCATATGTAACAATTAGATTTATTTTTTTACACAAAGATTGAATTTATCTTGAAAAACTGGATTATCTGAATATTTATTGTTTGTAATGGTGCTTATCAGCATAGTAGGTAGAGAATATTTGATTTTTTTTTTTTTTTTTAATGATAAGTCTCAGAGAGAGAGAGAGAGAGAGAGAGGCAGAGACACAGGCAGAGGGAGAAGCAGGCTCCATGCACCGGGAGCCCGATGTGGCACTCGATCCCGGGTCTCCAGGATCGCGCCCTGGGCCAAAGGCAGGCGCCAAACCGCTGCGCCACCCAGGGATCCTGGTAGAGAATATTTGAATGAAAAATTATGGTTGAGGGCAGCTGAGTGTCTCAGTGGTTGGGTGTCTGCCTTTGGCTCAGGTCATGATCCTGGGATTGAGTCCTGCATCAGGCCCCTCACAGGGAGCCTGCCTCTGTCTCTCCCTCTCTCTCATGAATAAGTAAATAAAATCTTTAAAAAAAAGAAGAAGAAAAAGAAAAATTCTGATTGAGTCCATTATTTGTACTCAGACATTGTGGAATTGGATATTAACTCCTTACTTTGGATATGGAGCATGTACTCTCATTAGCTTTCTGGACTATTTCATAGTCTATTCTGTTACCTGCTTGTCCTTATAGTCATTGGAATTTGAAAGCCTTGTGATAATTTTTTTTTATCAACCAATTATCAGTAACTGTTTTGACTTGTGTACCTTTCATACATATTAGTAATGCCTCAGTTTTCCATGAGTAAAGAATGTTCTAGATAAATTGGTATTGCAGATGCTGAATTTTATTCCATGGTTATGCCAAATTGTTTTTGTTTTGGTTTGTTTTGGTTTTTAGGGCAAGGGAGAGGGGCCAGAGGGATAGGGAGAAAGAGAATCTCAAGCAGGCTCCACGTCCAGGGTGGGGTCTTACACAGGGCTTAATCTCACATCATGACCTGAGCCGAAATCAAGAGTCATTGAACTGAGCTACCTAGGCATGCCTGAAACTTTTTTTATGTGATTTGAAACATTTAGAATGCACCATGTGCTTTCCTACAGGTTTATATGAGTTATAATGGATCTTTTTAAGATGTTTCACAAATTTCTTTAAGCTGAAATGATGTTCTGAAATGCCTACTATAATATTTTGCGTATTTAGATATCTAGAGCTGATTATTACCCTAAATAATCCTGGAAAATTACCTAAAAATTTTTTTGATTAAAGTATAATTGACTTCGGGTGTACAACATTGTGATTTGATATTTTTATACATTACAAAATGATCCCCACAATAAGTCTAGTTACCTGTCACCATCCAAAGTTATTACAAATTATTAACTGTATTTGCTGTGCTGTACACTACATTGCTTTGACTTACTTATTTTATAACCAGAAGTTTGTGTCTCTTAATCCTGTTTACCTATTTTGCCCTCCCCTCTTTGGTAACCAATGTTTTGTTTCCTGTATCCTGAGTCAGAAACTGACTCATAAAATATCTTAATTACTTTTTAAATGCTTTGTTTCTACCAGTGATGTCCATAGTAGCTTCTTTGACTGTTCTCTGTTTTGTTACTTTATTCCCTCTTTACATATAGTTCTTGTTTTCTTTTTTATACAAAGTTTTAATTTACTAGTTTCTAAAGTTAATGCTTCTTCATTTGACCTTGGTGACAAATGAGCATTTCCCCTTATGTCTAAAGGGGTATTGATAATAATTTAGGATATTACTAATAGACCTTTATGCAATGAAGAAAATGTTCTATAATCTATACTGTCCAATATAGTAGTCATTAGTCAGATGTGATTACTGAGTACTTAAAATTGGCTAGTGCAAAGGAGGAACTGAATTTTTTAATTTAATCTTAAAAATTTTAAGTTAAACAGCGATATGTGATAGCTAGGGGATATTGTATTGTACACCACAAGTCTGGACTTTATATAGTTGAAGGTGCTATAAATCTTAAAGCATAGAATCTGAGGCCTGTGGCATTATTATATTTCAGTAGTGTAGTAGAGAAAGGAATTAATCAAGGTAGACACCTTAAAATAGCAAGTGGAGAAACAAAAGGCAAAGATTGTGAATATTTCTCTAACTCCAAGTGAGTTGGTAGCTTGAAAGCTCCAAGTGCCATTTAAGACTGAAAATGCTTTGCATGTAGATGTTTATTTTGTAAAAAAGAGAACATATACGTATTATGGGACAGTCTTAGGATATTTGGTGTGACATGATAAGGAGGAAGAAATAGTATGAATAAATACTTTAAAAATGTTCACTGAAGGAGAGCATGGTTTATCACATTGTAAATATCGTTCCTTTTTTTATTTTTTAGGTACAGCATCTGGTGCAGTAAGTACCTCTGGAACATATTTATTTCATTATACTTCTTTAGCCTACAACATTGATTCTTATTTCTGTTTTAAGGATCATCTGCTAACTTGAATCTTTTTCCTTTCTTTTCTATGCCAAAGGTTGAAAAATGGTTTGAATGATCTATCTTAAAATTTAATTTTTTTAAAATTTAATTTTGATGGGATTTAATGAAAGAAAAAAGAATCCGATATAGGTCAGATTTTACAAAGATTTGAATTTCCCACTCTTAGTACAATTAGAAGGGAAACAGAACTTATAGGTATACAGTAATTAACCTGATAATTTTCACGTAAGGTTTACATTAGAAGGTACTCCTATATAAAAATTTATGTAACCTTTATTACTGTAAACCTAATATAGACTTGCTAATACATAAAATTTAAAATACTTTTGTTTATACCTTCCCTAATGTCAGAAAGACATAGTATTCAAAATTGCTTTTTTTTTGTTGTTCTTGGTGGTGGTAGTTGGTCCCCTCCCCCCTCAGGAAAGGAGAAATACACTGCTATACTGCATTTCTTTTTTTCCATACTTGAGTTTTTAAGATAATAGTTATTTTTGCTAATGTTGCTGTGTAAGATGTTCATAATAGAACATCTAATAGAATATAATAGAACATATGTTTTTATGATGTTTGTGAAAATAAGCCTGATGAAAGCTTCACTTTAAAGATGCCTATTTACTTATTGATAATAGCCATGTCCTTTGGCCTCAGGGTTTTCTGTAATTTTTTAGTTTATTTTTTAATTCTTTAAAGATCAATGGAAAGAAGAGGGTTTTTTGTTTGCCTGCTTGCTTGTTTTGGGGGGGAGCAAAGGGACAGAAAGAGAATCATTTTAAAGATTTTACTTATTTATTCATGAGAGACACAGAGAGAGTCCAAGACATAGGCAGAAGGAGACGCAGACTCCCGGCGGGGAGCCCAATGCAGGGCTCAATTTCAGGATCATGATCCAAGGCAAAGGCAGCCACTCAACTACTGAGCCACCCAGGTGTCCCACAGAGAGAATCTTAAGCAGACTGCACACTTAGCATGCAGCCAGTGCAGAGCTTGATCTCACCACCATGAGATAGATCATGACCTGAGCTGAAGTCAGGAGTCAGTCACTAATGGACTGAGCCATTAGGCACCCTGGAAAGAAGAGTTTATATGTATAATCTCATTTAATCAAAATAATCCTGAGAGTTGGCTATTATCCCCATGTTATGGTTGAGGAAATGCAAAAAGCTGTGAATTGATTATAAATGTGTTAATATTTTAAATATGAGGGGAAAGACTTTTAATTGTGAACTATATTTAAATGTTTTAAAGTTTCTTATATCTTCTGCTTTAAAAGTTGAATGGTTATAGGGACGCCTGGGTGCCTCAGTCTGTTGAGTGTCGGACTTTACTCAGGTCATAATCTCAGGGTCATGAGATCCAGCCCTGGGCTCTGTGCTAGGTGTGGAGTCTATTTGGGATTCACCGTCTCCTCCTTTACCCCTCTCCTGCTCGCATGTGGGATCTCTGTCTTTCTCTTTAAATAAAATCTTTTTAAACAAAATGTTGAAGAATTATAAAATATCCATGTGGTGTTCTTCCATTACAAGTGCCTGTTTATATTTTTCACTAGTGATAGCTCATGGTTTTTTGTTTGTTTATTTAAATAATGCAGGCTCACTTGGGGGATTAAGAAGCAGACATAAGTTAAAACGAAGAAAGTGAATTTCACCCTACGTTTTTCCACCTCGAAGGGACCACCATTAGTGTTTTGGTTGTGTCAGTTGGCTATCAAACCTTTTTTCCTAAATTGAAATAATCTTTTTTTTTTTTTTTTAAGATTTTATTTATTTGAGAGATAGAAGGTGAGCACACACACTTGAGCAGGTGGGGAGATGCACAGAGAGAGAGGGATAAGCAGGCTCCTTGCTAAGTGGGGCTCCATCCCAGGACTCTGGGATCATGGACTGAGCCACCCAGACACCCTGAAATAGCTTTTTAATCATATGTCAAATTCACACATATTCTGGCTTCTCCTTCTGGGTTTTCTTTTATATTTTCCATCTCTATTTGTTTATTTTTCATCCAGTATTGCACATTTTCTGATTAAAACAGCTTTAATAGTAATCTGGGCGGCTCAGTTAGGCAGCCAAATCTTGATTTCTTCTCAGGTCATGATCTCAGGGTCCTGGAATCCAGCCCTCAAGTCAGACTCTGTGCTCAGCAAGGAGTCTGCTTGAGGGTTCTCTCTGCCCCTCCCCTGCATTTTCTCTCTCTCTCTCTCTCTCTCTCTCTCTCTCTCTCTCTCATATAAATGAATAAATCTTTTAAAAAGTTTATTAAGACACTTCTTTGTTGTTTCTCTCTTCGTTACTGCTTTAGCTATTTTCACATATTAGTGTATGAATTCCTGTATCCCCCTAAAAAATCTGTAAATATACATATACCCACACACACTAAAGACAAAATTGTGGTATTCTGGGATTATATTTAATTCGTTTCAATTTTGGAAGAATTCACATTTTCTACTCTTCTATTTTCCCATCTAAAAATACTGTGTATTTGAAAATTTCCTATTTGCTTTAATTCTTTTTAGATTTTGGGTACACAAATTTGAGTTATTTGAACTCTTCAGATCATGGTCATTGTCATTGATCCTTGGAGGATTCCTCACATATTTTTCCACTTTTTCTTCATCTTCCCTCCCCTCCCTATAACACCCTTCCTAACAGGTGCTCATTTGGTTATATGCCCAAAGATATGCATATATTGGGAAAAGCTTACGAATTTTTTTTGTAGATGTATTGTGGTTTTTTTCTTCTCCTTTTTTCTTTTCTCTCTTTTTTTTTTAAAGATTTATTTATTTATTTAGGCACGTCTTCGTTGTTTCTCTCTTCATTATTGCTTTAGCTATTTTCACATATATAGTGTATGAATTCCTGTATCCCCCTCCAAAAAAATCTGTAAATATATATATATATACCCACACACACTAAAAAGACAAAATTGTGGTATTCTGGGATTATATTTAATTCTCTAGAGAGAGAGAGAGAGAGAGAGAGAGAGAGAGAGGCAGAGACACGGGGAGGGAGAAGCAGACTCCATGGCGGGAGCCTGACTCAGAACTCGATCCTGGGGCTCCAGGATCGCGCCCTGGGCCAAAGGCAGGCGCCAAACCGCTGAGCCACCCAGGGATCCCCCTCTTCTCCTTTTTTCTTTATATGTTTCATACTTGTTTCTTTGTTGAGGTATAATTGACATAACATTTTAGATTGTACAAAATTATTTGTTATCTATACACTGTGAAATGATCACAATTTAGTTAACATCTATTCATACATAGTTGCAGATCTTTTTTTCGTGTGATAAAGACTTTTAAGATTTACTTCCCAAAACTTTGAAATATACAGCACAGTATTATTGTTGTTACTATGCTATGTGTTACATCTCCATGAGTTAACTTATTTTATAACTGGTACTATGCACCTATTTATCCTCTTCACCCATTTCGAACCCTCACCCTCAATCTGTTCTTTGTATCTAAGTTTGGATTTTATATTCTTTTTAAAATTCTATATGTAAGGGAAGTCAAATGGTGCTTACCTTTCTCCATTTGACTTTTCGCTTAACATAACGCCTTCAAGGTCCATCTGTGTTTTGCAAATGGCAAGATTTTATTCTTTTTTATAGCTGAATAGTATTCGTGTGTGTGTGTGTGTGTGTGTGTGTGTGTGTGTGTGTGTGTGTACACCTTTCCTATCTTGGCTTTTGTAAATAAGGCTGCTGTGAACTTGGGGGTACATGTGTCTGTCGTTTTTTTTTTTTTTTTTAATAAATTTATTTTTTATTGGTGTTTAGTTTGCCAACATACAGAATAACACCCAGTGCTCATCCCGTCAAGTGCCACCTCAGTGCCCATCATCCAGTCCCCCCCACCCCCCACCCACCTCCCCTTCCACCACCCCTAGTTTCGTTTCCCAGAATTAGGAGTCTTTCATGTTGTCTCCCTTTCTGATATTTCCCACTCATTTTTTCTCCTTTCCCCTTTATTTCCTTTCACTGTTTTTTATATTCCCCAAATTACATGTGTCTTTTTAAGTTTTCATTTTCTTTGACTAAATACCCAGAAGTGGAATTGCTGGATTGTATGGTAGTTCTATTTCTAAATTTTTGAGGAGCCTTCATATTATTTTCCATAGTGGCTACACTAGTTACATTGCCATCAACAGTACATGTAGGTTTCCTTTTTCCCCACATTCTAACACCTATCTGTTGGCCATCTATATGTGTTTTCTGGGAAAATGTCTATTCAGATGCTCTGCTCGTTTTTTTATCAGATTATTTGGGGGGGGGGGGCTTTTGCTGTGCCTTGTATGAGCTCTTTATATATTTTGGATATTAACTCTATATACATGATTTGCAGATATTTTTCTTCCATTAAGCAGGTTGTTTTTTCATTTTGTTGATTATTGTTTTGTCAAAAGGTTTTTTTTTTTAAGACTTTATTTATCTTATTTTTTTAAAGATTTTATTTATTTATTCATGAGAGACACAGCGACAGAGAGGCAGAGACTCAGGCAGAGGGAGAAGCAGGCTCCATGCAGGGAGCCTGACGTGGGACTCAATCCTGGGTCCCTAGGATCAGGCCCTTGGCTGAAGACGGCACTAAACTGCTGAGCCACCGGGGCTGCCCAAGATTTTATTTATTTTTTTCATGAGAGAGACACAGAGAGAGAGAGAGAGAGGCAGAGACACAGGCAGAGGGAGAAGCAGGCTCCATGCAGGGAGCCCAATGTGGGACTTGATCCTGGGTCTCCAGGATCACGCCCTGGGCCGAAGGCAGGCACTAAACCTCTGAGCCACCCAGGGATCCCGTGTCAAAAGGTTTTTTTTTTTTAGTTTGATGTAGTCCACTTGTTTTGTTTTGTTTTTGTTGCCTTTGCTGTTGGAATCAGATCCTAAAGATCATTGCCAAGACTAATTAATGGTCAAGCAG